ACCCCTTCAAGCATAGCTACTTCTCACAATCAAGGGGATGCAGGTTGCCCCCTGTCCTGATCGGTGGTGGTCAGGGCTTGATTACGCTGCCTATCAGGGTTGAGACCCTCAATTTGGCGATACTTCATACCTGTCATAACACAAGCTCAAGAACCAATAACCATGACAAATATTCCATAATAATTACAAGGGGCCAGTCACCTGTTGATATATCTAAAGACTGTCGCCCTTTCATTTTTGGGAAAACTAGGGTGCTTTCAAGGTTTCAGTTTGAAAATGCACTTGAGTCACTATTTGGCGAATGTTGTGTCGAAGCGCGGAAAAAATGGTGAATGTATTATGTATACAACCTGGCTTTCGGGTCCAGTGGGGATGTGTTGTATTTGGTTGTGGGCAACCTAAACCATATGTGTTCATATAGTCCGTAGACTATTCCCATCCTTATCGAGGGGGATGCTAACCTTCTCTCGGCTCAACGAAACACCAGTACCTTTCCCATATGTCAGCTGGGGGCAGTATCGGAGTCCCGAGAAAGCCAATTCAATTTATCAACGGCGGCCCTCCCCCGCTTGGCTACCGTGTTACCCGGTGCGTCTTAGATTTCAAACGGGGAGAGGTACTGGTGGTTTAAGGAAGGAAAAAGGGAAAGAAGAGTGGGGCTGCCTGTGGGGGGGGCGGCTGACGGAAAGACCGAGCATTTTGCAGTAGCTGCGCCTCCCATCTACTTCTCCCACCCCCATCCAGTAACAGCTGTGTCTATGGCCAGCACTCCATGCCACACACACACAGTGTCACAGAGTGGGTGTGTGGAGTAGGTTTTATGGCTGTGTGAGACTAGTTTCCCAGACTTACTACCATTCTTGTCAGAGGTTCGAACCGACAGTCTTCTAGGATTGCAGGGTTGGTGTGAGTGAAGTCCACCACTTTTCTCAGGGTTATAGACATGGCGAGTCCTTATCCATCAGTCAAATGCATCCTGATCGATGAGTAGTGCGACGTGCAATAAACACGGCACGATGCTCGGGGCAAGCCCTGAGATCGATCGTCGTTAATGCTCCAAGAACTCAACTCGTGTCAGATTCCCCTTCCGCTCATAAAGCCAAACTTCAATGACGGCATCATAGATGGAGAGAGAGAGAGAGAGAGAGAGACACGGAGGGAAAGAGAGAAAGAGAGCAAATCAAGACGCAGTGACGAAAAAATTAGCGCTTAATGCGCTTTCATTCCAAAAAATAATGAGGAAGTATGGACCATGGAAGCAACCGGCGTTCTCCCTACCGGTTTCGACCTCAGCGCCGGACTGAGGTCATCATCAGGGGAGGGTGCAAGCGCATTGATCGTCACTGCTTGCTAGCTCTAAATATACTAGAAGTAAGGAAAGAAAGCAGCTACGTTTACCATGTCATAGACTCGTACATCCCGAAGCCCCACATTCCACGATCATGCGTTCCAGAAGGATGGGTAGGAAGACAAACTCAGCGTAAGCGGGAAAGACCAGTACGGAAAAACAGCGGGAAACCCCAGTGCAGAAAACCAGCGGGAAAACCCCCACACTCGGGAAGAGGTTAGAGAGCATGCAACGCCGTGCACCGAAGGTCAGTACCTGAGAGCAGATCAGTTGGGAAAGAGGGAGCGTGGTAGCCGAAGTTGGTGGGTGGATGTAACCTGTGTGGTATGGCGCGATGCTTAAAGACGGGAAAGAGCCTGTCAGGGTGCTATCAGGGAGTAACGGGCAATATTTCGAATGTCAGAAATCCATCTTCGTAATACAGAGGATGAGGGCGTTTGCACAGTCCAAGGATGGAAAACGTTGGTGGAGGAAGCAGGAGGGAACGGGATGGTCAAAGGTTTGTGGTAATCTGTTGCCTGTGAGGTATGGCGCGGTGCTTGAAGACGAGAATGAGTGCGTCAGGGTGCTAGCGGATCGAACAGTATCTTGAAAGCCAGGAGACATCGGAGTGAAAGAAAGGACAATAGGACCGAGATGGCGTGGAACAGATACGTAGTGTGAGTGGAATCAGTGGACGAAAAAGAGAGAGATTACACCGAGGAGAAAAAAAGAGAAAAAAAAAAGAGAGAAAAAAGAGAGAAAAAAAGAGAGAAAAAAAGAAAAAAGAAAAAAAAGGAAAGAAAAATAAAATAAAGAAACTTGAGAAGACAGCGCAACAAGGCATGACAAGCCAACAAATCACGAAAAAACAAAAGTCATAAAAACAAAGGGAAATAAGGTGGGAAAACGAGACAGAAAAAAGGCGGGAAAACAAGACAGAAAACCAAAAAACAAAAGCAGAAAAAGCAGAAAAAAGGCGACAAGACAGAAAAAACGGTGACGGGTCGGACCACTACTTCATGCTTCCCCTTTTTGTTGCGGACTCCTATTTTTCGATCTTGATTTCTACTTGCTGGATTGTAGGATCGTATCCCCGTCCCTGCTTCCAGCCCCGTTTCCAGGATTTCTCTCCATCCGTCAAGACCTTGCTCATTTCCCGTAGATAACTCACGAAGGGTCCTAAAAAACCACTGCTTCGGGAATCCTTTAAGTCTCAGTTCCCGTCTCAAAGATAACAATGGGACACCCACTCCCCTATAGTCTGAGGAGTGGGCTAGGACCCTGTGCATGTGGCATTTAACGGCAGCCTTTTTGTACTGCGTAGGTCCAAAGGACCGAAAATCTTTGGTGGATTGTATATCAATAGACCCCTTACTCCAAACAGAGTTATGATTCCTTGTCATGGCCAAACAGTCTACCTCGGGGGGCGTGGCTGAACATAGAACAGAACAGCCCAAAAAATCCCATCTACCTGTACCTTCGTCAGTTCTCACTAGTGATAGATTCGGGTCATAGGCTTTCTGAAAATTTTATATCAGCGATACTGCCTTACCCAACATTTCTTCATTCAGTTTTGGCAGTAGTAGAAAAATGCTCACATCGTCGACCAGTCTTATTCCGGAAAAATATCTGCGGTCAGTCCCAATGGATTCCAAGAACGTGCACTCATTGTATGAGCACAGTAGGCAGGCTAATGCAGGGCTCGAGCTTTTTCCCATTGGAGTACCGATCGTCTGCTTGATGATCATGTCTGCCACATAAGCAAAAGAATTTTCTAGATCAAATTTGACATATTCAACTAACAGAGAAAACTTAATAGAGACCCACCCTCTTTCTCCGAAACCTGATGAGAAACAAGCCCCCTTGCCGCATCTGTTGACACGCACCTTCCTATGTCCTTGTCCGGTGAATACGTCACAAATCCATTCAACTGCTTTCAAAATGGATTTGTGAGGTAAACGGGTGAACATTTCTTTGACATCAAAACAGGCTCCTATCAGGCAACCATTACTCATCTTAGATGCTTGCTTGTTGATGCCTTGGATTTTTCCTTTAAGCAAAGAGGTGGACTTCAAATTGAAGTTAGATGCAGAAGGTAAGTTCCACAGAAGAAAGTTAATTGCTTTCGAGATTGTTTTGCAGGCCCTTATACTAGGATCGGCGTAGGAAGGCGAGATCGGGCGCCATCTTGAAACGTCCTGTGCTTTGGGATGCCGTAACAGCAGCCGAGCGAGCCCTTGGGATTCCATGAAGCGATCTCCTTGGCCCCAATTTTATCATATTTCTCTTTGCATCTTCGCAATACGCTGCAACTCTCTTCATGAACCACTTGGAACCCCGGGTTTTCCCAATACAGCTTTGCTAAGGCCCGAAAATAGACACTTTTGCAGCAGACCAGTGAGTCTCCAATGTTATGATCTATCGGGCAAACCACAAGATCATTAAACTTTGTCTTCCATTCCATCAGTTTTGAGAATCTATCATCATCCACCTTTGCGCCCTGGTTAGTTAGACAATTTCTCAATTCATTATTCGAAATTTTAAGAGACCCTGGGCAATGTTTAAGGCTAACCTCAACAATTTTCCTGAGGTAACCTGTTGAGGGTGCCCTCTCAATAGGCAAGGAATCCCTAGAGTTGCTCAAGAACTCGGGAAGACCAGAGAATTCAGAGAACCGGAAAAAAACATGCCCCTCATCATCGGTTGGCAGTCCGGCCCTACTTATCAGACATCGACATTCAGACACAGGCTCCTTTGCCACCAGCCTGTGGTTGTGGAGATGCTTGCCTATGGTTTTCGGCCCACTCCAGACAAACCTAGCTCGGGAAATAATGAAGTCCGCGACACACGGAGGCTGGCAGCGCCTCCTAATTTCCTTCTTTACCAAATTCATTACGTCGTGCCTTCGAATGTCAACAGAAAACATGCTTTTTACCATCACAACCGAGAGGCATCTAAACCCACATTTTATTTTAATTACTCTTCCTACGACCCCCTTCAAGATAGCCCTAGTCCTGCCATTGCCGAAAGACTCCATGCAATTATAGAGTCTGATCAGTGCGCCTATTTCGAATCCATACAACATTCGCCTGGAGGCAGGTAGCTGAAGAAGGGATAGCAGAACAATCTTTCTCTGTTCCATACCACAGTTTGCTGTTCTGATATGCAGAACAGTGAATGTGCCTCCCCTCATAAATTCACCTTTCGCATCTTTCAAAAACATTTTGCTGCCGTCTTGCTCGATGATCGTCCACCCGAACTTCTTTTTCAATCTGCCCCACCCATTGAGAAAGATGCAGCCTCCCTTACTCCTAATAGTGGCCGAGTAGTGTCTAGAGCTCAGAGCATTATTAAGTGCAGAAAACAACGAAAAAATCTCTGGCTTCCCTTGCAGGGCCAGGGCAGTTCCGGCGGCTATATTCCATGAGATAAGACTATGTCCTGTGTGGGGGCTTCCAGTCCCTCCAAGCTTCTTTCTCAGGTAAGCTTTACGCTCCCTTTTCCCTTTTCTTCGAGACTTCCGTCGTCTGGTTTTCCTATGTGTATTCAGCACAGGTCCCCATCTAGCAATGCAGGATGCCTCAACATCCCTTAATTCGATTTCTGGTACGGAGACCAGCGGGATGGCGACGTAGTTCTCCCACCCTTTAGCAGCTAGCCACTTCCTAAGCTTGTGATTGCGTCTATTCTCAAGGTGCCTCCCTGACAACACATGCTCATCCCATCTTTCCGAAACGCCCCTACTTGTGGATCCTATGTATGTGGCCCTAAACCAGGGGGATATCAAGACATACATACACACAACAACCATCCCCTTTGCAGACATCATAGCCTCCCCGCACAGAGTCAAGCCATTGGTTGAGAAATTTCTCTCCCCATGTGATCTGCCCAAACACTATCAACAGTAACACGAACAGTCTCAAGTACTGTTCCAGTAACTGCTTTTTCTCGCCGCACAGCTCCTTCCTTCTTCTTATTTCACGGATCCTCCGGATCCGGTCCCATAGCCAATCAGGGTTACAATGGGACTCAAGAAGGGTTCTCTTCTTGGGTCTCTTCCGTTGTTTCTTCTACATGGTCATCCTCCTCTCCTTCCTCCCCATAGGCATCTCGAACTCTTATTGCTGTAAGGTCAGCAACCGCCTGCTTCTTATTATGATACTTAATCTTGTCTTTGTTGCAGAGCTCCACGAGTTCTTGCTTATACTTCGCCGTCAGTTCCTTCTCCATATCTTCCCGATACTGTCTTCCTCCGTCCGGTCCTGGATTGGCCACCACAGCTTTCCTCCCTTCTCTAACACGATCAAATCCCAGACCCGGTGGAGTCCCCAATCCAACAGCAGATAGACTACCAGACATGCGTCTCGCTGTCCCTTCTACTGAAGCAAAAACTTCGGCAAGGCGGCCCGTTGTCCTGCCAGCGGCCGGTGTCTGTGTTCCAGACGGTCCTGGCCTATCCTGGACAGGAATGCTTGCAGGGGGAGGTGCCCTGCTCCGAGTGACCGGCCTGTTGGTCACCTCGGTCGTTGGTTCACGATTACTAACTCCATTAGTTCGTCTCACGGAAGGACCCGGGGCCCSRGGGGGRGGGGGRGGGGGRGGGGGRGCSGGRGGGGAKGGAGGGGGGGATGGTGGTGGGGAGAGGCGAGGTGAGGCAGGTCTRGGGGGAGGGGGGGGGGGGGGGGGTTGTGCTGTTGGACGATGAGGCATGGCTGCAGGAGGTTGTGCTGGTGGAGGAGGAGCAGGCTGGTGTACAGGAAGTTGGGCTCCAGGAGCAGGGGGTACAGCGGGATGTACTGTCCTAGGTGGAGGAAAAACTTGTCGAGAGGAATCAGCTCGAGCAGCTCTAGACGTAGGTTCAATGTGGGTACTGCCGCTAGGTGCGGTCTGAAAAGGTGGTGCAACAGCGGAGTTGGCACGATGGGATGCTTCAAATCTCTCAAGCATTCCCATCATCCGCTCGAACATGGCATTCTGCTGCGCCTGCTGCCGTTCCATCAACTTATTCTGCTGTGCCTGCGCTCGCTGGACAGAATCAATATTCATTAGCAGCAGCCCGGCGTTGAGTGCTCCCATTTCATTCACCCTCTGTCGAGGGGTCGAGGGTTGGCCTGTGGCAGCTCCTGCCATTTCGTCCTGTCCTCTTTTCTTGTTCTCCGCATTTGCCTTGTCTCCTTCAACCACCTCTGTGCCCTTATATTTCTCGAGCTTTTCCCACAACTTTTTATTATCTTCCTCCCTCTTCTTTTCCATCTCACTCCACCTTTCGTTCATCATCTTAGCTAATCGTGCCTCTTTCTCCGCTTCTTTCCTGGCATCCTCTTCCGCCCTCTTAGTCTCTGCTTCCTTCGCTAATCTCTCCTGTTCTTCCCTCGCCCTGCGCTCGTTTTCCATTCTTCTAATCTCCCTTAACTCCCTGTTATCATAGGCAGTTTCTCTAACCAAAGTAATTAGTTCGCCGTCTCTCGATCTCGGATTCCAATTATTCCATCCCGTCGCTCCTTGGTAGGGGGAGATCGGGCGGGGCTGGTATGGAACAAGGGCGGTAGAGGTGGATGGGTCGTGGGTGCTGGATGTAGACGAAGGGGGAGGTCCAGATGCGGAGGGAGCAGGTAACGGAGGAGCGGAAGGTGCGTACTGCGGAAGAGTGGTGATTGGGGCAGTGGGGGCTGGCAACGGTGGGGGGGATGGTGCGTATTGAGAAGGTGGTGGGAGAAGCGGCTGTCCACGTGATGTCGACGGGCCATACGCTGGCC